CTGACACGAGGTGATGCAGAAACGAGAGTTCCTGACGGGACAGGCTCCCCCACAGTCCTCGTGGGCTCTGAGTTATGACCCCGTCACTAGTTAACAAACGTAAACTAACCACTCAATCACGTGACGCCAGGTTCCGCACCGACGGAAGGTGGCGCTGAACATGCAGCGTCACATCTGTGTCCGTGTTTGTGATCAGCCGTGTATTTGTAATTGACATGTTTAAGCTGGGGGCGTGTGTGCCGTGTAACTAATAATTACCCGCCACATCCACAGGAAGGACTTTCTTCTACAGCCTCCTGCAGAGTGTTTTTAAACATCTCTCTGCAGCTGTGCAGTAAAATCCCTGCTCTGCGTGCACCGTGTCCACATGGGGCTTTAATCTAGCCGGCACTCGCGTGAAAAGAAGAACAAATGGGGGAAGGGTGATGGAGGGAGAGCGCGTACCCCCTCTCCGCCTGTATCACACCACCCTCTCTCACAGCATCAGCAGCGTCTGACGGCTGCATCCTTCAGCTGCGCGTCCGTCCTGCTATTCCTCCAGCTGACATTTCGATAACAGGAGTGGTTTGTGTCTGCAGCCGAGCATCGGTGTTTCTTCCAGAACAATCAAACACAAGCAGCAGCATGGACATGATGGGCAACAAGCAGCGGCGGGTGCTGAACATCAAAGCCGCGCTGAAGAGGAACTGGCTCCTGATGTCTACGATTGTATCGGTGGTGCTCGGTACGTGCAAGCCTCTGCTGACTGCCGTCCGGTTATTGTTTTCTATTTGCTCCTTACTCCAACGCTGTTGTGCATTCGCTGGTTTGGCTCAGCAGGGGGTGCATGCGTTTTCATTTGATGTCCAGACTGGAGGATGCTTCACTGTGGGGACATCCATCTGTCTGTGTCTCCGTCAAACGTGACCAGACTGAGGTGACACAGCGGCTGTGGAGGCTGTCCACGCTGAGGCAGCACTGTGCACCGTGGAATGAGCGCTTTGCTTCATATCAGCCTGCTGACCCACTTCAGATTAAATGTGCATGTGTTAGCTAATATTAAACACATTTCCTGTGTCATTAATTACACCTTAGAGCTTTAAGTGTGCACTGTGCGGTCTGAGGGTTGTGTTCAGGCAGAGGGAGACGACAGCTGAGCCTTTGTTAACACAGCCACACAGCAACTAGCAGATATATGAGGCAACATGCACATCCAAATAAAATAAACAGTATAATCATCCGTCTGCAGCAGCTGGATTCCCAACCAGGAAACGCAGATACTAAGATGTTATTAGGTGTCCCTTTGGACTCACAACAGCTCCTGTATGGGAGCTAAGATGTCACTCTGCTTCAAGGCTTATCTCAAGATGGACTCGAACACAGGACGGGATTTAAAGGCAGATGTGTTACAGAGAGGTTTGATCACAGGTAGGAATATAACACACGAGGTGAGACCAGGTTAGTCCAGAAGGACTGGACAGGTTAGAAAGAGTCACTTCACCAACATGCGACTGCAGCTTGTGATAGAAATGTTCACGAGAAATAAGTTTGACAGGTTTTAGGCCAACAAGTCTTTACAACAGTTTAAATGCCAGAAATCACTTTCAGGCACAACACCAGAATGGGAGGTGTAGGCAGGGCCACGATACAGACCGATGACAAAGTCAAGGGCGATACTTTTGACTAAGGCCGTCTGGAAGAAGGTGGAGGTCTTTGTAAAGCCACAGGTGGAGCATCTGGGGCGCAGACAGAGCAGGCAGTATTCACACACATCTTTGAGCCCCGAAAGAGGACGAAGAATTAAACGTTAAAGCGAATTAAATGTAAAAACCGGGAAGCCCATTGTCAGGGTCGGGACAAACTACACACCCTGTTTCCCGTGTGAAGGACTTGACGCACACGATGATGAAAGTCGTTGCAATTCTGTATCCGTTTAGATGACAAAGCATCAGCTGAAATGTCCTGATTGGATGTGCTTGTCTGGCCTGTTTCATGTCACACATGTAAACCAGCACGAGTGTTTGTTCAGTGATCGGTGCTCTTTGGAAAGTTTTCTTTCAGGTGAAGTGGAGTTTACTGTGTCTCTGGCTCTTGCAGGGATCAGTCTGGGTGTTGTGGTCAGAGAGTACGCATCCCTGTCGCATCTCTACAAGCAGTACTTTGGCTTCCCAGGAGAGATCCTGATGCGAATGCTGAAGCTGGTCATTCTTCCTCTGATCATTTCAAGCATGATAACAGGTAACAGAGGCCTGCCGGTGCAGTTCGTCCCATCCAGGTAACTCTGAGGTTAACCCTGAGCTCTCTGTACTACAAAGCTGGTTCCCTTCTTACTAACCTGTTAGGGAGCAGGTCATGTTCACAGATCAGAGTTCATCAGGAAGGTTTAACCCTCAAACCGTCTGCAGATGAAGGAATAAAAGTAAAACATGTCTGAAGTGCAGCATAGAGTCTCTGCTGTATGTGTTATACGCAGCTTGCTGAGCCATATCTAAGAAGCTTGGAAGGAGCAGCTGTAGATCATTTCCTCAGGGATTAGTAAAGTATTCGGATACTTTCAGTCCTCTTTCAAACGCTGGCATCCTCCAGATCTGATCGGGGTAAAGCTGCTTCTGTTTCCTCGGTAACCGTCCTGCTGTAGTTGTTTTCTGACTGTCTCGGTTGTCGGTGGTTTCATCTGGATCCGGTGTTTCTGGAGCTTGTTGGTGAAGTCGGTGGAGTTTTTGATGTGAGCGTGTTCCCCACAGGGACAGCTGGATGGTGCTGCTGACAGTGGGTCTGAGTGGGGCTGCTTCTTTGTGGAAGCTGCGCCCCCGGGTACAGACGGTGTCCCGTAGGGCGGTAACTGATGACTTTGTTGTTGTGTAGTTGTCTGTGGGTGCTGTTGTCGAGAGGAGCCTGCGTTTCCTGTATTATGAGGCAGACTGGAGGGTGGCTGAAACCTTCAGGCTGTGATAAGATCACTGTGGCAGCTGTTGTGGAGAAACCCAGTCCATCTTTTCATGCTGCTCATGACTGTGGTGTCTTCCTGTTCTTGTCTGTGTCTGGAAATCAACTTGAAATGATAAGTTTTCGTTTGCAAAGTATAGAATTTGTAAGGTTGTCTGTCCTGTCCTGTAACGGGCTGAGCCTCAGACTTAGAAGCTTCTTCTAAACTAGGAGGGTGGGAGAGTTCCTGAGTCGGAGCTCAGTCTGCATCTATAGTGAAACACCTGTCCTATCCTTTCACTTAGAGGTTGGCTCTGTGCTCTCCATAACAAACTCTGCTCTGTCCTCTGACTGTGGGAACAAGTCTGCTGTGTCTTAGGTTGAAGCGCAGGCGGTGTCTACAATCTGCTGGTTGATTCATTGTGTCACAGTCCTGGGTGGGTGACCCAGTGTTTTATATCATTGATCTTTGTGTTCATCTTTGGTTTCACTGCTAGTGTCGTGCTTCTGTTTTGTATTCCTAGTTCTCAGGTTTTGGTCCTTGTGCTCGGTGTTCTCTGTGTTCTGTGTTTCCTGTTTTACTTTGAAGGTCCATGTCTTGTATTCGTTTGCTTCCTCCCTGTCTTGTCATGTTTAATTGGGTTCAGCTGTGTCTCCCTCCTCTGTTCCCTCGTGTGTGTATTGCTCTGTTCCTATAAAGGCTGATTATCATGTATCCTGTTACATCTTCACGCACTGCTCAAAGAAGTCCTGCCATTAATTAATGCTTCAGTCTAACTCTGTTACTCCTCACAGGCCTTTGAGGAGACTTAAACAGCCATGACTTGGCTCTATAGGCCCACCTTCCTGTTATCACAGTCTTAAAGAGCAGTTGCCCTCAGCTAACTGAGTTTCATAACCGGTAGCCTCTGACAGGACGTCTGTCACTGCAGTGCTACTGCTGACTGTAATGTGGGGGTTTGACTCCTGTTTCCAAGGTAACTTCAGTAATCACTTCCTCCAAAGTCTCACCATCAATAACTGTTTTACATTGATCAGCCTGTCTGTATTAATGGGGACGTACCTCAGACCTGTACGGTGGCAATAATCAAACAAGTACTTCAAAGCTCAGCTGGGAGACACGCCCTCTGTTTGGATAAAGGTTATAGTTGGGGCGGGATCAGGTGACGCTGGTGTAGGCTGCTGGGGACATGATGCCTTCACTGTGTTTATACACAGGCTCTCTTTCACAGCACGTCTCTGTCCTGTCCCCCTCCCCTAACCCCCACCAATCACAGCAGAGGCCCCGCCCCTCCCTGAGCCTGGTTCTGCTGGAGGTTTCTTCCTGTTAAAGGGGAGTTTTTCCTTCCCACTGTCACCAAAGTGCTGCCCATGCCTCTGTATTATTGCAGTGCCTTTACGTTACAGTACAAAGCACCCTGAGGTGACTGTGGCTGCGATTTGACATGCAAATAAAACTGAATTGGATTTTCCACTTGTAGTAAAAAGGTTAAGACAGTCTCCTCAGTCAGAAACCCTGCTGACTGTAGCAGAACGAGTGCTCTGACTGATCTCTCTCTGTGTTCGTCATATCACGGCTCCCTGCTGCAGTGGATAATCAAATAGCTCCGTCTTGTCGCTCAGACGTGAAATGAATGAAGACAAAATATTTCTCAGCTCCGTTCGTTTGGTTTTGCCTCTGAAACAGTGATTTCAGCTGAGCACAGCTGCTTATGACGATCACACTTTGCATCTTCAAATATCCACTGTTCATTAGTTACTGAGCTGCCTGTTGTTGTTTCTAGATTTTCCTCTTGCATTTCTCCCGAGGTTTGTCGCCTGTGTACTTTCCCTTGGCCTTTGTAAGTTAATAGATGTCACTGACAGGACTGGTGTTCTGCTGGTCTGGTTTTTGGACCTCGTTTATTGTTGTTATGTTGTCATTGTTTCGTGTTCTTGTGCCTCTTAGTGTCATCGCTTGTTGTTCTTGTTCTGAGTTTCATTTGGTCTGGTCCCTTTCGTGTCCTGGTTGTGTGTCCTCCCCAGTATGTCCTGGTTGTGTGTCCTCCCCAGTATGTCCTGGTTGTGTGTCCTCCCTGTGAAGTCTTTTGTCCCCAGTTTCCTGGTTCCCAGCATGTCTGTCTGGTTTCTCCCCCTCGTTCTGTGATGGAGAGTTGGTCAGAGTTGGTTGTAATTTAGTTCTAGTTGTAGAGTTTCATTTGTTTCCTCGATGTTTCTTGTCTCATGACCAGGGCGGGGGGAGGAGCCTGGGTGCAGAAAACTAGGGAACAAAACATTTCCAAATATCAAGGACAGCTCCGGGGTTCTGCCCAGGAACCTGCAGAAAGGCAACAGTTCAGGGTGGCTGTGTGGGCTCAGCAGAGATGGAGAATCTAAGGGGCCATGAAGGTGTCCTGGTGCCACGTTTGGATCCTGCTAAGAGCAGCAGATGGAGGATGCAGAACCTGAAGGCTCAGCAGGTGAGCAGCTGTGAAGATGGAGATCAGACCCTCTGACTGTCGCTCATGTGCAAGCAGTGAGAAATGACTCAGGTTCAGGCAACAAGGCAGGTTTGGGCCCTCTGACTGCCTTTCTACCAACCAGAGCTGCACTCACCCAGCTGCTGCTGCTGTAGTGAGGCCTGACCGCTGGGCAGCTGCTGTGATGGAGAAGTGTTTGGTCTCAGTGTCTGCTGACCTGAAAAACATATCAAACCAAATAACTGAAAGGAAACAGATTCCAAACGGTATGAGATGACAGAGAAGTGTGGGGAGGCCAAGACTATGAACAAGATGACGGGGAACATGGGAAACACCAGGGAGCACACCTGAAAGCAGTCACAGAAGACGAGGTTTTGGGCGAATGTTTGGAAGCATAAAAAATGTAAAATAACAAATTGTACGGGATCGAATGTTTACAACTACAGAAGGTGTTGAGACGAAATGACTCCCAACAATCCAAAATGGATCAAATCTAAAAACAGTTTGCTGACAGAATAAAATCTATGAAACTCTATTGCTCTGTGGATATTAATGCACCTGTCAGACCAGTCAGGTCCTCTGAAACATTTTTCTATGTTATCTTCACAATCACTGTTTAAATAACTCAAATGTGTAAAGACAAAAAGAAGCGTTGGAGGTAGTTGGTAAGAGATGGCAGGATGAGCCCAACCTCAGCAGCAGGACCGCTCTCAGCAGCAGGACCGCTCTCAGCACCGACCACGTGTGTTTGAACTGTCTTCACATACAGGGTCAGTCCTACAGAAAGAACGTGGATCCCAGCTTCATCAGCTGTGGCCAGTTTTTACTGGAGTAACTGAAAAAGATCTGTTGTCCAATCATGGAACAGCAGAAAGCCGATGTAGAGAACACCTGGGTGAAAATCAGATGTCAACATGTTTATGGCTGTGTTGGTTCAGGGTGCACTACTATTCACTGATCACATTAACAAACACGTGAAGTTCATCAGGGAGGATATAAAACTGCTTTCTTAGACTAAAAGTTTCATCAGGGATGGGCGACATAAAAAGTCAATATTTATCAAGAGCCAACAAATTTGGATCAGTATCTAAGGTTTGACTCCCATCATCCACTGGAGCACAAACTGGGCGTCATCAGGACGCTACCACACAGAGCGAACACCATCCCCACTGACACAGGGAGGCAGAGGAACATCAGGAAGGCCCTGAGTC